TTTTGTTTTACATATTTATGAAAATAAAATAACATAAATTATAAAATAACATAAAATACATAAAAGTAAATTTACTTTTCTGAGAATGTTTAGGCCAGCAGAGAAGGCCTTGCTGGCCCTCAGGGTCCGCCACTGGTGTCAACATAATTTTAAAATGATGATCCTTCATACGGCGTTAGCATCATTGCTACTTGAGAATGTGACTGATCATACTATTGATTGCTGCTTTCATCCAGTGGCTGCCGGCTTCGCGACGAAACTGAAAATGTTTCCGTGTGGGCAGCCCTTGCTAACTCTGCTCGCATTTTCAGGCTTTCCACTTGATCACTTGGGTGCTACTTGTTCAAAAGAGTTAACAAGATACTTGTATTATCTTGTTTTTGACGACATACCATACACCCTTCAGGTTGCTCTGGAGATACCGCCAGGGGAGGAACTTATATCAAAATAGCTTCATATTCGGAAGTCATGTCTGCTGATCAACTGCATGTTTCGATGTACGTTTGGTCAATTTGTTCCTATTTCTTTCTGTTTACTGCTTCTTCTTTCAATTCTGTTTATTTCAAATGTCCAGAATGCCGCCGCTCGCCTCTTGACTGGTACTCCTAAGAGGGAGCACATAAGGCCAAACAAAAAAGATGTGTGTTTCAGGTAACATGAAATTTAAGCATTGGGTCATGTTGTTGACAGACGACAGGGCAAACGACGCACGCGCTCAACGTGAATATCGCGAGAGTTTGCACCGATGTAAACCCTCTACACAAAAATGTAGAGGGTTGTTTGAAAAAAAAAAAACTTTACGGTCGGCATTTTCGACGTAGAAATTCTCGGTCGGTCGGGTTACCAGAAACACACTACTTTTTTTTTCTCCGCTTAACTCCTAGTCTGGCATACCCTCACTGGCTCCCAATACATTTTGGAGTTCTTGTTAAAATCCTATTATTTGTTTTCAAATCTTGAAATGGCCTTGCCCCACCTTACCTCTCTGAGCTCCTCTGACCCTATGCACCTGCCCTGTGCCGTCAGGTCTGCAGACCAGACACTATTATTAGAGGTACCAAGAACTAAGTGGAGGCTTGGAGTGGGATGGAGCCTTTTCCGTTGCTGGTGCCTCTCTTTGGAATAACCTCCCACTGAACGTTCAGCAAGCCCCCTCGCTGCCGCTTTTTAAAACTCATCTTAAAATTCATTTTTATTCTTTGACTTTTGACTCAACATGAGACTTGATTTTTAGTTTTACTGTTTTTGTGCTTTATACTGTCTTTATTTGGGTTTTATTGGTTTCTTGATCAATTAATTATTTTTGTCCCGTGTACAGCACTTTTTATAGGTTGTTTTAAAGTGCTCTATAAATATAGTTGAGGTGAGAAAGGAGACTCCAACTGGCTAGAATCACACACATTTCCGCCACGTCTGACGGAGTCACATCGGCATACTGGCCCTGGGCCACTGTTTATGTCGAATGCTGGTGAGCCCGATGCTCATTCCAATATTTGGCTGAAAAAAAAATCAGATAACCAATGAATCGGCAAATTAATTTAAGAATAAAGCAACTTCTTTATTGGCTCGCCTAACGACTACAACAACAAAGATATCAATTATCGGAAAGGAACATTTTACTGTTTGCCATACGTTGCCCCATTTTGTTTCCCGTATTTTCACGACCATATTAAAGGGCACAGTGTCAGTTATGGGTGCTACAGTATTTCTGTATTTAATACATTCACAAGACACACTGCATTATTGGACGCAGGCATGGTAAAATATATGCTAGCTTAAAAAATACGGTAGCACACATGCACGCTACCTTTTAAAAAGGCAACGGGAGCAAAACTGAGTTTGGTGGTACTTTAAGTGTTTAACAATGTGCTCACATTATTTTTGGATCAATCCTCATCCACAAATTCATCTGTTACTAAATTCAATTAATGTAACTTGACAGACAAGCAGCTACAAGTTCATTCTCGCCGTTGAAATGTGGCAGCTGGAGCATTGGAGATGTGTTGTCACACAGTTTAACCAATCACATCGCCAATCTCGGCCACCACCACCTTGATTGGTGATTTTGACAAGACACGTTTATTTATGCTTTCTTTTTCGTGGTATTTTTTGTGTAATATTTTAATGATCTGCACCAAAATAAAAGAAAAGTCATTTAAATAAATAGAAATCCCATGAAGCAGAGGTGCCTAACCTTTTTTGACAGAAAATCTACTTTTCAAGCAGCCAACTTGCCACGAGCAACCTGTTACTGCAAGTGCACGTATACCCACACACGCACGCACACACGCAAGCCATGATGATCAATAGCCATAATGGATCCTAACATGGACAAAACAGAAAAATAAATTCAGTACAAGACAAGACTGAGTTTGTTATAAGTAACGCATTGCCTACCTTAGTGAGAGACCTGAGAGGCAGATGCGCACTTTTGTAATGCATTATTAGCAGAATCACGATCGTAGCTCGCGTGTAGTTTTAAAATACTGTTCCTGCTGCTCCAGATTCGAATTCTTTGACACTGCCATCAGTGAATTGCAGATGAAACAAACCTTGCCTGTGAATGAACAAAATATAGATCTGTCTCAACAGCTGTGATAACTAGCTGCAATTGCCAACTAACAACTTCCTGTGATGCAGGTCATGCAGCACCGCAGGTTAAAGGTGACCGATTTAGTTGTTGTTGTTGTTTTATTTGTCTTTTTTTTTGTGAGGTTTGAAGTGATAAAGTGATAGAATGGTTAAATTGAAGTGTACACTAACACAAAAGTATATAATATTCAAAGATGGGCATTGGGTCCCTGGGACGGGCGGCGAGAAGTTTTTTAAAAAAGCATGCACTAAGCGAGCATCGAACTGGGTTTTGATGATCCGTCCCTTTAATCGTCCTTAACCCAGACCGGGATGGAAGCGCTTACAAAGGATGAGGATGAACAAGGATGGAGGACGATAATTATATGAATAAGGATGGAGGGACAATGATGGAAGGGTACCCAGGTCTGGCAAAATAGGGTTAAGTGCCCATCGCTGATAATATTAATAACACGCACACACACCCTCCCCCCATCTCCCCTTCATCAGCCCTCACTGTTGTCTTGGACCAGTCTGCGGACTACGGGTCGACCGCAATCGACTGGTTGGGCACTCCTCCCATAAAGTAAAAAATCGTTCATGCAATGAATGATTTTTAAGTAGGTTCATTTCAGGCAGTTCTAATTATCTTCTTACAAAGCTACTTTTCAGTATGTAATTATTTAATGATTTAGTTTCCTTTACCTTTGATTAATTGTGGTGCAAGAATTTAAAATGACACACTCCAGTTTCTGTGACATGTAGTCAATAATCCTAATTTTGTCTTTCCACAGACACGCTTTTCCAGTTAAAGGTATGTATCCAACATTTAGAAATTAAGTGGCATATGCATGAGGGGCTTACATAAGCCTTTTTTGTTCATGGCCCGACAGAGCCCTGTTTTGGTGGCCCTGCATATTCATGATATAAAACGAAAAATTCCAATGTTTATTTCAGATTTAGTGTCTTAACACTGTCTTATTTAAGTCTGTAAAAATATTACTTCTGTGTACTTACTTTTTTTGAACTTTTTTTTCTGTTTAAAATCTAACTGAATATTTAACATTTGACATTTTTTTAGCTTTATATCATATTGATGTGCATTTTTTTTCAGTAATAAGATCAATGATGACTGATCAATTTAACTTGATAAAACTCAAAATGTTGACTAATTTAAAAAAAAAAAAAAAAGCTAGAATGTGTTGAATTTATACCATTCTTGTATGAAAAGTGTTCTAGCCCAGTCAGCATCAGTGTACTTCTGGTGGTCCAACACAGTCACGTAGTGGCATTGGGCCATTGTTAATGTAGAACCCTATATGTTAATTTCTTCCTTATGTTTTTCTTTGGTTACCAGTTCACCTCCAAACAACTGGAGAGACTAGCCAAAAAGGCAGAGAAGGAGTCTGATAAGGAGAAAGCCAAGGTCAAAAAGGTGAGCAAAAGACATCATTGCCATTGTTTTTGATTCACTATACATAAGGGGTTTAAAAATTCTTTGTAACAGATTAAGTAGATTTGATCGCGATGTTTTATGTGGTTTTATCAGCAATGCCTCATTTTTGCACCAAGGGCTGCGCTGTAAAAAAGAAACTATTGCACCACCTATGTGATATTGTTCACAAAATGCAGCAGAAATGATTTGTGGCTGCATGTCCTTTTCACTTGTGATGTTGTAAAAAACCACCAGTGCATGCCCCACCTAGTTGTTATACAGTATATGCAAAGTGTTTTGAATGTTTTTTAGAATTGCAGGTAAAATAATGAAAATGTGAAATTATTGACAGTTGATATTAAAGGTGTAACAGTTTAATCATTTACTCATTTAAACACAGTATGTATATGTACGTTTTAAAAAAAACACACACACACACACCGGTGTGTGTGTGTGTGTGTGTGTGTGTGTGTGTGTGTGTGTGTGTGTGTGTGTGTATATATAACAGGAAAATATTGCCTCTAGTGACAAAAGAAATTTCAAATACGAAAGGTAAAAATATTAAATGTTTCATGTTAAATTCTTCTGAAGCGTTAAAAAAAATCTGTTTTTGTTTTGTTTTTTAATCGGAAGTATTATAATATCTATCCTTATTATAATTGTTTTTAACTATGAAAAATTGAAGAAAATTATTATTATTCTATTACTATTATTCCACTACTTTTTACTCGTGTTTTTATTGAGGTACTGATACAGATACAGATATAGTATCAAAGTCAACATTTCGATCTTGTCACATGAGTGTAAAGAACAGTTTTAATATTGAACTTTCTGTGTCATCTTCTTATCACAGGCCCTGCAACAGAAAAATGTGGAATGTGCTAAGGTTTATGCTGAGAATGCCATCCGGAAAAAAAATGAAGGTCTGAACTGGTTGCGCATGGCATCTCGAGTCGACGCTGTGGCCTCCAAAGTCCAGACCGCTGTCACAATGAAATCAGTAAGTTAAGTGCAATACATTCAACATTTGGGGTACAGTGATCCGTCACTTATTGCGGTTAATGGGGACCGGGACCCCGTCGCGATAAGTGAAAAACCGCGAAGGAAGCATTGCTCCAGCCTAGGAATTTTTGTGTAAGTGTATGTGGGTACCAGCATGTTTAAAATATGTAAACAGTATTTATACTTTACTTAAATCTGTAATTATAAAACCTTATATGGTAATTAACATTCATCAGCATTGCCTTCTGAGTGAGGTGAAGAGACTTATGTTGGTGGCGTGGCGCTCCCTTTATGCTCTAACGGTGTAGCTGCCGTTAGCCTCCAGCTAGTTCCTGGCCAGCTATCCCCGCGCAGCCGACGTGTTTATGATAAAACAATTAATCTTATTGATGAGGAGGAGGGGAAGAGAGACGTGCTGCTGCTGTTTTCGGACAAGCCCAATCTCCATCTTCTGATCAGATCAACAATCAGATAGTTTTTAAAAAAACTTGCTGATGGGTGATCAGCCCCAAGAATTCTGATCATGTAAAGTTTACTCAACTCAACTCAACTGTATTTATAGAGCACTTTCAAACAGCCATCGCTGCATATGAGGTGCTGTACATGGAGCAACTTACATATACAACTGTAAAGCAACAAATCAGTAACAAAGATGGTAGAGGTTAAATGTACTTCCATTTAATCAGTCAAAGACGCAGTATGGGCATTCCTTTGTCAATTACACTTGACAATGTTGTATTGTCTTCATGTCCACAACCATTATTTTTTAATATTTCCACTAGGGCAAATTTAGAGTTATGGACATAAACTCTTTTATTCCCCAGGGCATCTAAATATGTCAAGAAAAGCCACTACAACTGCCTACCCATGTGGTATTTATACGTCATTTCCTTTTTTAAAATGTATTTAATTTCATTTAATTTTTTTTTTTTTTTTTTGGCGTCTTACAGTAGTGCATAAGGGTCTGACGCAGCCTCATACTCAGGATCTTGTCTGCATTGTAAATCATTTAAAAGTTGTCCAGCAGGTGGCAGCGTGTGTAAGTGTCAGAGATTTTCTCGGACAAAGTTAAAGAAATGACTCGGCACACAGGAAAATTGTCTTCAATATCGGCGGGAGCGGATCTCTGAGAGCGAACGACGGTAGTTGCTCCGATGATCACACACTCCCAGTCCCGCCCTCCACGAGTTCGACATTTTATTGTAACATATGCAAAATACAAGAAAACCACTGCCCCCGATATTTGCATGCCGCACCCCCGGTCCGGCCCCTCGGTGGTGATTGGTTACCTGTTTTTTAAACTTGAACCACCAGTACGTTGGCGCCTTTTCTGTCTGGCAGAGATGAAAGTCCTCCGGATTTTCCCGGAATTCCGGGTTTTTCAAATTATTATGAAAATTTCTCCGGAGAATTGAGGAAAATTTGCATAATCCGGATATTAGTTGACAACATTGAACGAAGACGCGTTTGAGTTCGTTGTATTGCTTTCACAAGCGTAGCCATATTGAGGCACTAACACTAGTAACAGTAAAGAGATTTTTGTTTGTGGAATAACGACAGAAGGCATGATGGCGTTTGACTAATGGTTTAGTAGAACGAATGGCAACTCGCAACAACAGTAGCAAGCGTCATTTTGCCTCTTGGGTTATACCATCTCAACTAGAACGTGGGGGATAGTCCCCAAACAATTTTCGTCTCTTTATAAACACACCCGCTAAACCCCAGTGGAAAGAATAAAAGAGGCCGTCAACAAGACAGTTGTCGTAAAATATATATTTGGCCAAAAAGGGAAAAACACAGATTGGCAGAAAATCGTGTCCGTCTGACTGCGAGTGTCGTCTCGGCTAACTTAGCTTAGCTGTTGTCGTGTGTGACGTCATTTGCGT